CTTACGTATTGTTTTTTATAAACTATTTAATGAGAATTTTATGAACCAACAACCTTTAAGGAGATTTTGTCAAACTGTAAGGAAATAGAGGCACGAATGAGGAATTTCAAGACCTCACAGTGTGAATTATGCTCACTTTCACTCTTTATAGAAATTGAAAACAAATCATTTTTTTGCCAGTCATCTAAGTTAAACTGAAATATGGCTCTCCTATTCTGAAGCAAGAAGAACCTCACTTGCCTGCCAGTTTCTAAGAATCATATCAGTAAAGGCAAGGGAGTCCAACCCAGTATCGTTATAGAAGTGGTTTTGGTTTTTGTATGTTTGTTTAACATACAGACAAGGACTAAAATACCTTTGAGAAAGCGTCCCTTAAACACATGCCCTCCCCTCCTGTCAAATTAAAAAACAAAAAAAATCCATTTAGGATTCCAGCTACCAGCATAGGGCTCACTAAATCAGGAAACTAAATTCAGTCTCTCTGCTCTGCCTTCATTCATGGCTAGACTGTTATCAGTTTCACTTTGCCACAATTCTTCATCATAAATGTATTTTCTCTAATTGTTTCAGCTCCTTCTTTTGCAGTCTGGATTGAAAGCCCAACCTGCGCTAGTCTGTCTCTGTTTGCAAGCTCTGAAGTTTATCTTCAGACCTGAAGAGGAAAATTAAATTAATCTGCACAAGTTACCCTCCGACCTCCTGGAGTGAATTAGCATCCCAGCTCTGTACAGATGTATTAACACAACTAGCACGTGAAAAGCATACGTCTGCTTAGCCAGGCCTGGTGCAAGCCCTAGCAGTGTGCTGCCTGCAGGAGCTCAACAGCAAAATGGTTCCTGCCCAGCTTTTGTTTTGGTTTTCCTTTTTTTCCTTTTTTTCCCTCCTTACTATTTTTACTATGCCTCGGTTTAAAAAGAAGCCTATCCTCATAGCTCATTAGGGCCTGATGCAGTACCAAGAGCGTTGACAGAAAAGACCATATTCCGAGGTACTCACCATCTTTGGGAGGAAAATAACCTGGCAAAAATAGAAGTGCTGGTGATAGCCAGGAGGTGGCAGAGGAGTGAGGCCACCTTGTTCACTGGTTTCTGCATTGATTTGGCAAAAACGCCAGTGCAACCCAAAGACAACAAAACCCAGCCCCACCCTCCTTCTTCAGAAATAGAAGGATGAAACCTGTAATCACTTCCCTGCTTGTATTTAATACTAATTGCTCATCTTCCTGAGATCTGACTTTATGAAATTATGCATGCACACCAAGCAGATGAGTTTCCATAGAAACTCAGGAACTGAACTTTCATTAGAAAAATCTTTTTAAAAAAAAAAATCAGATAAAAATGCAAATTGCCTGTCAGTGGGTGGCTTTCTGAATTTATATATCTTTTTTTTTCTTTTGCACCGTAGGCAGATTCCAGCTGGACCTACATAGCAGCAACATGCAGGCATTGTTTATAGCCAGCCAGACTCCACGGGGAAATAAGAAATTCAGTAGCAAGGAGCAGCTCTCAAGTGCAAATACCTCAGGGAAACAAAACACAAAGTGTTTCAGTGCTGCATGTTCGCGTAGGCTTGGGGTTGCTGCAGCCTGCAGCTCTTCGAAAACGCTTGGGGCTGGCAGGGCGTGGGGGAGGGAAGACGGGAGAGGAAACGCAGATCAAGAAACCCTTCTGCATATAGAATTAATAGTGTCCAATCTGTCTTTTAAATATCGAGAGACATATTTCTGCCTGGTCTATTAGGCGTCCCTGGGATGGCCGACGCCACCTGCCCCAGCTCGCTGTGGGCTGAGGAGCGGATCCGGACCCTGCGGCTGAGCACGTTTGCAGAGCCTGGGCTGGGTTGAGGCCTGAGACCCAACTTCTTTTGCCCAGCCCAGACGGGCACGCCGCAGCGACAACACGAGGGAAGCGGGGCCACGGGCACCCCTGCAGACGGCCTTGGCCCATGGGGGTAGATCCCCCCACCGCCAACAGCAGCGTACCTCGGCAAGCTGAAAACTTTAGCCCCCCCTCAGTCAGCTGTTGCCAACCTTTCTGCCTGTGTTTCTCCCCCAAAATATAACACAAAGTTTTTTTTTTTTAACTCATCCAGTATATTGCAGTCTACAGGAGTCTTTCTGCTGGCTTTGGGGCACATGAGCTACCCTTTCTGAGGGTTCACAGATGTTTTTTCAAGCTAAACAGGCATGCTTGGAAGCACTCAGTACCAACAACTCACTGGTGGGTACCCTTAGTACCTGCCCCGGGTGCACCCAGTGCCTGGGGCTTACGTACAGCCACCTCCTCCAAGCGCTGCCAAACACCTGCAGGGACCATTAGGCTGAAAGATCCTCTGTCCTCTTCAAGCACGGGCAGGAGACGATGCAGCGGATCCACAGCAGGCACTCCCAAAGAGAGAGAGAGAGAAACACCTAAGCCAGCCTCTCTGCTCCTTGCCCAAGGGTGCGGGAGG